TCTGAGTAAGAGGCCGTGGGGGTAATAGAGGCTCTGATTGACACCACCTTATTGGTAAAATAAGATAAAAACAATTCACAGTCATCATTACTTCCAGCTGAGGCACAAGGAGGGGTTGGGTTTACCAGCTGATCCACAGTCTTAAACAGAAACCTGGGATTGTGTTTATGTGTAGTAATGAGTTCAGAAAAATAGTGTGTTCTCGCATCCTTAACCATGTTATTGTATTAATAAATCCTTCAGACTGAGGTAATGGACTTGGAGACTGGATTTTTTCCATCTGCTCTCTGCTTTCCTGCATTCCCTTTTTAGGCTGTGAATGCTGTCATTTATCCAGGGTTGCTTACTAGCTTTAGACGTAGGCCTAACCTTTAGAGGAGCAGTAATATTTAGTGACGACAAGCAGATATGATTGAAGTGATCAACCAGATTGTTGGTGTTGGAATCAGACAGGTGTTGGCTTTGGCTCTGAAAGAATGTGCAAACCTTTGAAACACTTTGTTCATTAAAGAAGCGAGAACACACGGAGCTTGGTGAGGCGGCATGAGTAACAGGTGAATCGCAGCTAAAAACAATACATCTGTGGTCAGATATGGTCATGTCCACTAATTCCACAGAGGAAAACGCTGACACCCAGGGTAAAAACCAAGTCCAGTGTATGACCACGGTCATGGGTTTGCCCTTTGACATGTTGTTTGAAGTTAAAAGAAGTGGCCATATTTAAAAACTAAGTTGCATTAACATTGGTGGGGTCATCAACATGAATATTAAAATCTCCACAAAGAACAATTCTGTCATAATTTAAAACCAGAGTAGATAATACAAGGACCCGAATCCAAATTTCTCAAAACCTGAAAATCTGTAAGGTCCGGGCTTATTGATACTGCTACTGAGACTAGCAGGTCCTCTAAAGTAACGTGATGTCTCGAGAAACAAAACATAACACAAACATAGAGGAAAAACAAACATCGCTTTATTTCTCATTTAGTCAGTTGGTTGCTTGCTAGGATGGCTGATTGTGCAAAGCTGTCAAAGGCTTGGCTACATTTTAGTAGTTGTACTGATAAAGACTAAAAATTATATCGATATAAATAAAAATTAACGATTGCCACCCCTAGTTGTGATATGTTGTAGACTAAACAGTGTGAGTCGAAAGGTTAATCAATAATCAGAATAATTGTTAGAGCCCCAACATGAATGTTTATATAAATGGTCAATCAATGTTCAGGTTTATTTCTATCACAGCACACCAAGTAATGCAAATTGCAGTTATCTCTAGGACTGGCTGTTAACAACAGTGGATATAAAGATGATTAAATCAGTTGATCTGTAAGTTTCACATATTTAAAACATCTAACACATAGACTGTTAAGTAATAAATAGAAGACATGGCTAAATTACATGTCTCATTTTCATTTTATTCATACTGTGGTGTATCATTGTTGTGAACACACAGGAAGTGTTTCATTCAGCAGCTGTTACACAAAACCTTGACATAAAAGGCATATTCTCTGACTCAAGAACTTTGACAGGCCTCTATCTTTGCATTTCTGTGACATTTCTGTGACTGCCTAAAGCATACCTGTAGGTGATGAAAGTGACAGAAGGGCGGGAGATGAGGGTTATGTGGTGCATCAGAGGGGGCTCTGCTTCACCAACAGCCAAGCCAATCTGTCAAGATCCGGCAGGCGGCCAGGGCATCTTGCTATCAGTCCTGCTTGCCTGACTGCGGTGTATTTTTAGAGTGATTTAGAGGTTCTTGTCTATAATGATAATAACACTGCAGCTCCGGCATGCCAGACGCTCTCTTTTGAATGGAGTCGTAGATAAGAAGGGATGGTGGGGAGGCTCAGGAATTCCAGCAGCACATGCTGTGGCTGATATGAAATGAGGACGGATTTAAAGGGCAGCGCCACTCAATTTTAACCAAGCGGGAAACTTCAAGTCAGAGAATTGATTCAAATGTGGAAGTCCCTTAAACCTGCATTCAACGGCCAGCAGGGGGCGACTCTTCTGTTTGGAAACAGAAGTCCGGTTTCATTAGAAATAATGGTAAAATTTAACCTACTTCTCAGCTGATTTATTACATCAGTAAACACTTTCCTAATGAGTTTATGGTCTCAATAATTAGTTTCATGTCTTCTTCAATACAATATGATGTTCATTTAGTAAATTATGGTCTCATTTAGTGGATAATAGACCATAAAGCAGAGTATGCTTCAGGGCGGGATTATCTGTGATTGACAAGTCGTTACCATGGTGACCTGTCAATCAGGCTAGAGTGACTTTTAACCAGCGTCGTTGAAAAATCATATTAGGAGTCGGCTGTTCACTTTCTCTGGTGAGTACATTCAGTTTTAAGCCTGCTGTTCACTAGACAAAATTATCATCCTGGTTATATGACAGTTAATGTGAATTACAGATGCACTTAGCTAAGCAAGCTAGCTCCACCGTCTCGTCCAAACACGTTCACGTCCGGCGCCGCTGGCTGCAAAAAATCAACATGGCGGCGCCCTATTGGCTAAACTCAAGGCTTCAAAATGGCAGTCCACAAACCAGCAGGTGACGTTATGATGACTAGGTCCACTTCTTATATACAGTCTATGCTTTTACCACTGAAATATGTTTTGAATGTATGTTCATCAAACTGAATCAAATACAGCGAGCAAGAGTAGACGAGGGTCAAGGTAATCTGTTTGGATCACCCTTAAAACATCTTGCTGCATTGCTTTACATATTAATGAGATGTCTTTGTAACTCCTTGTGGCTTTCAGATATGTAGTTTTGTAATGTAAAGGCAAGTATGTCTACATTACAAATTTACCTAACACATTTTATGTCCACATAATAGATGTGCCGATGCCTTATTAATAAGTGTGTGACGAGATCTTGTACCACGAGATCTCATGAGATTAAATTATGATGATATTTCTCGTCCGGTAAAAAGATGTCTCACGAGACGCACGCAGTTGACATTTTTCACATGCTGACAAGTCACACGTTAATTTTCTCACGCAGTGAAATACAAATGTAATTATAACCGATAAGACTCACAGCGCGAATCAACTCCGCCCAGCTGATGCAACATTGGTGTACGCCCTGATCCACTGAACTGCACCGCTCCTGCTGTGAGTCCAGTCCGCTGTGAAGAGTGGTATAGTAGCTGTTCGAGTTAAAACTCAAGTTTTTTGGTTAACCTGATGGATATTCTGGAAAAAGAGAGATTTTAGGTGTTTTGTGTGGTATTTTTATTATACATGCAAATTCACATGAACTGCTGAGTGAAACGAGCCAGAACTGACATGAACATAGTTGGCTTCTACAAATATAGAAAACAGTCCTGAATGTCACAAATATTCAGATCTCCGTCACTAGGGAGAGAAAGACAGAAATTATGAATAGCTTAAAGTGATATTCACTTTTCTAGCTAGTGGGCATCAGAACAGCTAAAGGAACGTATAAAACAACAAGGATTTTTTTTTAAACTGCCCAGGCTAAAGGACCAGGAATGAATGTATATTCCCCATTTGTAAATTATGGTCAAATGCCTTACCCCCATAGGGGATATATTGTGACAGTACCTTGAAAGCCTGTGGTATTTTAAAAGCATTTGCAAAAGCCTAACATTAATGGCCATGCTTTATTAGGAGATGGAAGTCCCAAAGCTGGAGTTGGAGAGTTGCTGACTCAACTGTAGAAATATTAAAATAACGAACAGTATTAAAAGTGTAAATACAACAGTACTTGATGAGTTGCAACTTTACAAACATAATGTATTTGCAGGGGTTTATAATGGTGGTTTATCAATGATAGTGAAAAAGCACTATTTGAGATTAATGGCTGTTAAAACTGGCTTATACTCATGCCTGGGGGGCTTCTCGCTCCTGTTGACAGAGAGCTATGTATGTGAACAGAAGACTTTTATGCTGTAATGTCCATGATACCCAAACCATGATATTCAAGTGAGTTATCATTTTGTGATGATTTTCACCTTTTAAATTTTGTCCCCGTACTAATTAGCTTGATTTCTTATCTCTGTTGCAAGAGATTGACCCATTTGTGTCAATTGCAGACTACTGTAATTAAGGGAATGCAGTTTGGTTGAGGCACAACAATGTCTTTCCTCCCTCTTGTTGGCCCACATTCTGTCTATAACCTCTTTCTGTTCTTTACACCCTCCACATTTCTCTTCTTCTTATCTTAACCCACAGTACTTTTTTACTCTCTGACTCTCAATCTCACACTGGTCTCTTCGTTCACCAGCTCTCTGCTGGCCCTCGGGAATACTGAGAGCATTGGATGGAGGGTTGGAAAGAGGACAGGAGTGAGTTTCTGTTCAGCTCTAACGTAATGAAGCCCCCAAACACACCAGTGTGTCTTTCACCCAAGGGAAGACATAATATCCAAAGAATGTAGCCTGTATGAGAGATTGGATGAATCAGAAATATGAAAGAGAATGAGTGTGTAAGAAGGAAAAACACAGATTGGCTCAGAAGGGACTGAACAGATGCATTTACAGTTTATGTTTTGCCGGTCACCTCGTTTCAAAGCACCTAATACTGGCTGGGAGATAACACTGCACAGATTTCATTGCTTGGGAGAAATGGCTTTACCCGACGTAAGATGTTATGACTCATCTAATTAATCTTAGCACTGGGTAAACAATAAGTGATTGTCTCCTCACCACAACAAAATACTGGGCACAATTTACTCTTTCTACATGGAGTTTGTAGTTTCTTCCTGTATTTGCATGGTGGGTGTCTCTGATGGACATGCAGATTATTACACGTTTTAATTGCATATATTAAAGTTAATTTGAGTAATTTCTTATTTTTCACTGCTACACATGTCATAGTTTTTACTTCACAAATTAGGCCCATTGTGTTCTGTGATTAGTTTTCCACATTCCCAGAGGTGCGGTTTATGAAGGAGATTGGCTAGTGCGTGACTAGACAGATTCATCTAATTATCCTATTTGTTTTACCATGTGTATTGTGCAGGCAATTCCCAACTAGGGGCGACCATTGTGGATGCCTTAGACACCCTCTACATCATGGGTCTACACGAGGAGTTCAAGGACGGCCAGGAGTGGATCGAACAGAATCTGGACTTTGGCGTGGTGTGTACCTACCTTCCTTTGATAAACCTATAAATCTAACACTTGTTGAAAAATAACAACATGCACAGGAATTATTTAGCTTTGAGGTTATTGTGATGGCCCAAATAGAATCAATGACAAGAATGGACCAAACCAAAACTAGTCTGGCCGACCGTGAGATGTTGCTGTTGCATATATTTATGTCTATCAAAGATGCTAGCAAAGCAACACACATAAAATAACCAAAGCTGACACGTCAGATTGGTCGAATCACCGTTTTTAACTATGTATCTTTAAATACTGCAGTAATGGCTGAAAATGGCAATAAACAAATTCAAATGAACTGCCAGTTTTCCACCTGGCTGGGAGTGACTACTGTTGTTAGCGAGACGCCATGGTGATTCAGTTTATATACCGTATGTTCCCAGTCTGGACAAACTTAACTAGAGTTCAGAAGAGGACAGAGACTCACATTTTAATAAATCAGTTTCACTTGAGTGGCACAGAGATTTGCTGTTGCTGCTTGGCTAAATGATCCTTGCTGAAGGATTGAACACTTTAACTGCTCCTGGTGTGAAAACACACTTAGAAGACTTTAGGGATCAAAAATCATAATTTATAAACAAGGTCAACAGCAAAATTCTTAATCTGGCCAATCACTTTGATGCCCTCTTTGATGAGAGCCACGGCTGGTAAATTAGCACTGAGCATATAATGAGAGAGAAATAACAGGGGGTCTTAAAAGGTAATAATTCAATTTTGCGAAAATTAAGGCCATTAAAAAGTGTTAAAAAGTTGGCAGGTGAAGCGATAAGACAGCAGACAACATGGAAAATATAAGCAGCATAGTAGTTTGGCTAACTGGCTGTTTAGCTACATATGTGCCTTTTTATTGAAACATGTTCAACTTTTCAGAAAGCCGATACGCTCGTCATTGTCAGTTTTTGTGAAGAGATTAATCACGTTTCATGTGCTACAGTAAACTTTCCAAATGTTGAACTAATCGTTCTTCCTAAATAATTATGATTATTGACGAGTTAGTAGCCTACTTAAGTTAGAGACTAACTGTAGAATATTTTTCTTGCACAAAGTTAATGAATAAAAAACTAAAATGAAACGGCTGTAACTGGAATTAATATTATAATAGTGGTAAGCTATATACTATACTATTATAGATTATAATGATTGTAATTATAATTAATATAGTAACAACATATAATTAACATATTAATTTAAAACTAACAGTTTACTATTAATAATGTACTTTTAATATAATGTTATAATATTATACTAATACACTCATTTGTACTAGTTCCTCCTCCAGGTTGTGGATTGATCCGCTGTAGTGGAAAGATTTAGCCAGAACCAGGATGCCATTGTGCCTATATGTGCTGCTTCTAGCCTCCTCCTCCTCCTGAGAGCAACATGTTCCCCTTGTTCTATTTTACATCTGTTTTACTAAAGTTTACACAAATCAGCTTTAGGATGCAGACAGCAGCTGTTGATCGCAAAAGTCTGTGCTACACTGCCTACACTACCAACGTTATCCATCACTCAGTTTATTCTCTTCACCTTTGTTCCCTTCTGGCCTATTTGAATTATGTTGGATTGATACAATGGTCGATGAAAGTTATCACAAAAAGAGTGTTTTCTTTTAAAGTCTCAAAATCAATTTATAGTAAATGTAAGTTAAAGGTGGGCTGTGTGGTTTTTAGTGGCTTCTAGCAGTAAGGTTTCAGATTGCAACCAGCAGCATACGCTTTACATATTTGTGAAGTTACAACTATGTCAGGTAGTTATCAACCGGTCGGCGTTTGCAGGCAAGCTAACATTATCTAGTTTGAACCAACTAAAACACACAATCACACTGTTTCACATGTTTTGCTGTAATGTTGCACACATAAACATCACAGCCTGTGTAAGGCAATGGATTTTTGCGGGAAATCCGACGAGTCCTTCACATAGAAAACAGTAGGCCTAAACAGGCTGTTATAGGCAACTGAGAAAGTTGGTGAATGCCTCAGTTTTTAGGTGAGGTTACAACCCGGTCATGTATAGGCAATAAAATGTTATAAATATGTTTAAATTCCTTTTAAAAACTCCACAATTCCCCTTTTAAAGGTGTGAGGCTGACTTAAACGGTTACAGCTCAAAGTGGCGCAGCAGTCTTAAATTATGTTGAAATGGTCTTGAAAAAGGTCTTAAAAGGTATTGAATTTAACTTCTGGATTCCTGTATATACCCTGAATAATCCTGTAACAGAAACTAGTCGATTATGCAATTTAAGTACATTTGATACACTTTCACTATTTGTACATCATTCTTTTCTGACCTAATCACCCACATTTTTAAGTATATGTTGTCATCAGTCTCACACACGCGCTATTACTTGTGTGAGAGGTGTAGATATTATATTCATATTTTCAGGATTGGCTCATTTTCTTAAATTTAGAATACCCGCTCTAGTTTAATACATTCAAGAAGGTTGTATTTAATAGAGAGTATTGTAAATGAATCTCTAAACTAATAACGTTAATATAATAACAGTTATTATTATTGATAGTTTGATTTCCTGTTCAATGTCTGTTCACTCAATCCCTCATCTTTCTTTGTCCAATCCTACCCCACTCCTCTCACACTCCTCTGTTAAAAACCTCTTCTTTTCCATGTCTGCAGCTCTCCTCATTTATTTCTCTGTTTCAGTCCTCCTCTCCCATTACCAGCTTCCTTCTCCTCTGTTTTGCCTGTCAATCAACTCCTTCCACACTCTTTTCCCTTCTGCATACTCTTACAACCCCTGTCTTCATCCTACGTTATCTTTTTATATTGTCCTTTTTTTCTTCTCTCTCTTATCTTTGATGTCACTCTTTCCCTCCATTTTCTTGTATAACCTCTTTGTATTCTCTGGACTTGACCAGTTTATTGTCTTCAATCTCCCCTCTTTTATTACACTTGACAGTCACAATTTATCTGTGCCTCTATCCATCATCTGCCATGTCTATCACTTTTTATCTGAGCTGACACTCTCTTCATCCTATTAAATTTTTCCTTTATACTTAGCTTTTTTCCTCCTTAATTTTAAAATTTTTTTGCATTTATTTCTTGCCCTCTATCTTCTATCCCCTCACTATCCTTCTTTACATTACCTCTTGTCTTTTCCTCCCCCTTTCTCGCTGCTTTCCAATTATGGCCAATCTGTCATTCGTCCTTTATTCCCCTTTTCTCAGATCTGTCCACCATAAATTTTCCTTTAAATCATTATTCTGTCCATGCCTTCTCCTTGCTCTGCCTCCTGTCCTTTTTTTCTTTTCTTACTTTCTGTCTGCTCCAATGTTGGACGCCCAAGCTTGTTAGTCCCCCTACTGAGGCACTTACAAGGCAGCTAGCAGGTAGGCAGAGGGGATCCAACACTGTGACACTTGGAGGGCTAATTAACCTGAGGATGGCTGTGGTCGAGCAGTGGAAAGGGGGATGCAGGGAGGAATTGAGGCTGGAGAACGGGGGAGAAAGAGAAAGAGCAGAAAGGCTTAGATTGAATGCAGGATGAGAGGGGAATTAAGTCTGGAGAGATGGAGGAGTGTAGAGAGCATAGGAGGCGCAGAGAGAGTGAGATAGTGTCCTACAAATGAGGTGTAGGGTAGAATTAGGGCGTTTTCCACTGATAATAGATACCCAAAAAAAAAGAGCACCAAACTTTCCGATGCACCTCAGATCAAGTCCCAAAGACTCTCCCTACAATTCAAGGCTCTTAACACCCAAGAGCTGAACCGGGAAAAGAGTCCCTTATGCCAGCAAGTCTTGAGACTAACAAATCCTGCAACATCCCTCACTTTTCTCAAACCAGCACTGCTTTACAAACACCAGTTACAGTAAACCAAATGATCACTCAAAGCAAAAATACTTATTTGGAACACTGGGAGGAAGAGAATCTGTGTATGGTACGTTCTTTGTTTATTTCTGTTTTAAAACCAAAATGGAAAAATGTTAAAAAAAAAAAAACAGACATCTGTTTGGTTTTTCTGTTTTAAACACAAAACTTAAAACAAAGGAGCTGCGTTTTGTTCTATCTTTGACCGGCGTTGTATCCCTACAACCCGTTCTCATTTCCCGACTCGTCACATATGCACGCATGGTCAAGGCCCATCGGTGCCGGTTTGTAATGCACTGGGGATCCCTATAGCGTCATAGGTCAATGCAGTAGGAGAAGCCCTGTAGTGTCAGTTTGTGACGGTAAAGGGTAGTTATGATTTTTAACAGAAAAGACTGAGTAAGGACGTAGTTGGGCTGAAAGGAGGGCCAGAACCTTTGAATCAGGAGACTCCTGTTCATGTCCCGTGTGAAACAAAAAGTCAATATTAGGCTAAATATGTTTATATTTAATTTTATATAAGGCTATTCCTTTTCAGGTCATCTGTGGCGAATATGATTGTAGAAATGAGCGAGATTTTATAGCCACATATGAAAAAAGAAATTTAAGAAAATGTAGGCTATTTGTTTTGCAAGATCACGTCAAGCTGGGTTTGAACTCACTAGAGCAAAAACAACTCCTTGTAGTGGCACAGTGCTTTGCCTAGGAGCCACTCAAACACTGAAAATGATAAATTTCTAGATTAAGTAGGCTAGTTCTACGTCAGCATCAATGGGGCATTTTGTTCTGGGCTGATCTAAAGCAGCTGGTTACCTGAGCAATCTAAGAAAATACCCGAATATGTTTTTTCTCGAGGCTATGGCCAAGGTGCGACCTATGGGGGAGCCCTGTACACTCCAGCGCCCCACTCCCTCTCTAGCAGACCTACTATTGGTTGTGTTGCCATTGGAACCAGTCAGTGGACGTTCCCTCTGGCTGGATGAAGTCCGACACTCCTGATTTTATGCATAATCCCTGTGCTACTGCAGCTGGAGGCTCTCCGCATCGCTGTGCAACTTTCTAAATTCTTCCATCTCACGAAGAAAATAAAGTTCAGGTCAAAACAGTGTAGAGAGGCTGAATGAGAATTGCCCGAACATTTTCATCTGTGAAT